CAATTTGATGAAGTGTGCGGCGTATGGTCTGAGTACTTACAGGCTGACCCCCCACCTCTTCAATCTCTGCAGCAATGCTGACAGCACTCCTGCGCCTATCTTTCTTAGATAGCATTTGGATGTGACGCTGTGCACGTTCACTCAGCTTCTTTGGACGTCCAACACGAGCCCTGTTGTGAGTGCATCCTGATTTTTTAAAACGCTGGAGGATCTTGGCCACTGTACTGCAGCTCAACTTCAGGGTGTTGGCAATCTTCTTGTAGCCTTGGCCAGCCTTATGTAGTGCCACAATTCTTTTTTTTAAGGTCCCCAGAGAGTTCCTTGCCATGGTGTGCCATCTTGGGAGTTTCAGTGACCAGTATGACAGAGTGTGAGAGCTGTACTACAAATTGAACACACCTGCTCCCTATTCACACCTGAGACCTAGTAAGAGTAACGAGTCACATGGTATTTTGGAGGGAAAATGACAAGCAGTGCTTTGTTTGGACATTTAGGGGTGTAGTGTCTTTAGGGTGTACTCACTTTTGTTGCCAGGGGTTTAGCTATTAATGGCTATATTTTGAGTTTTTTTGAAGGGAAAAATAAATTTACACTGCTATATAAGCTTTACACAGACTACTTTTCATTGTGTCAAAGCGATGTTTCTTCAGTGTTGTTCTATTATTATCTAATGAAATCTCTGCAGAAATGTGAAGGGTGTACTCACTTTTGTGACATACTGTATATTTTTGTTCAACCCCTTAAATTAAACCTTAAAGTCTGCACTTCAATTCTATTGTAGTTGTTTCATTTCAAACCCAATGTGGTGGCATGCAGAGCCCAAATCATGAAGATTGTGTCACTGTCCAAATACTTTTGGGCCTAACTGTACATACATACATACATTGACAGAATGTTCATGAAATATATTTTTATGTACTGTTTTCACTCAAAATACATTATTTTCATTTTCATTCATCAGGTAAAACATTGCAGTATAAAATATAAAAATACAAAACAAATAATAAATTAACACATTTAACTGAAATATGTTTTGGCTAGATCTACGAAACAGTCACACTGTGTACAAAAACAAAAACTACTAAACTCTAACATTTTGTATGAGATTTGCCAACGGTTTATATGTAAGTATTTAATTGGGAGGCATGAACATACCGTGTGAGGTAAGAATGATGCAGTCAACGTGGACATGCTGCTGTATTGTTTTTAGTTAGAGCTGTTTCTTCCTATTATTTTGAAAATATCTTGACTGCAGCACATATTGGGATCCTTGGCCGACGATGCACAGGGTTTGCACAGGCTGACTTGTTTTTAACCCATCACCAAAGTGAACAGTGGGCAGCTTTAAGTGCCCGGGGAGCAGTGTGTGGGGATGGTGCCTTACTCAGAGCACCTCAGTGGTAACTTGCCTTCCAGACCAAAGTCTGCTTCCTTAACCACTAAGCCACCACTGCCCAAATGTACCTTCAGCATGAAGATTGTGCTTTGGAGCAGCACAAAACCAAAAAAATAATATTCTACGGGGCTCTGTCTTTCCCCTTAAAATCTTCCTCCAGAGGTCAATCATTGCTTGTCTCGTCTTTTGTCCATTTCCTTAAGTATTCGAGCCACCAGAGCGGACCTCATGGCTGAATCCAAGCTGTTCTTTTTTGCGACACATTCCACCACCTTTTCAGGTTTATCATCCTGAACAAAGAGAAAAGCGACGGTGAGACAAAAGCAGCATAGCTTTCAGTGATGTGAGTTAGTCCACAAAGCTTCACTCTTCATCCGCAATTAAAATAAAACATGTTTTGTGGATAGGGACTAAGCAATAGGCAAGTGACCACAAGAACAGTGGCAATCACAAAGTACTGTCTCTACTACTGTCATGTGATCAAATAAAATAGGGTAGAACACAAAATCAGCTGTAACATCTGTTTAACTAACGCACAAATAAAAACCAACATCAACTACGGGGTTGTATATATACCTTGTGCACAAGAAATGATGTAATGGCTCCAGAATCCGCCTGATACTCAAGCCAAAATAGTTCTGTCCCCTGAGATTCTGTCTCTGTGCTTGATTCACTTTTGTTCGACTCCTCAGCTTCAGCACCGGCCCCTGGCTCTGATCCATCTGGTGAATGATAACACACATTTTTATTGTCTTTATCCAATTTAGTGGGTGCACTAAAACCATCTGAAAGATAGAAAATATGAAACTCATCAGACTAACGTCGTTGCCGTGGATGATACACTTGGATGTCAGGTCGACGTGGTCGTCTGGGGACTGTAGTGTGTCTCCGCCGCTGGAGCTCCTTAGCTTGCTTCACTTCTTTGTCATAGTCATCTCTGAAAGAAGACATTAACTTGTATTGAATTGGATCAAAAATACACAAATTTTGTTGTGTCCCAAACAATTCAGGCCAATTCGGGGCTTTACTTTAAATAATTTAAAAAAAAGACTTATTTGTAAAACTAAAAATATATCAAGGTTACAATTGCCTGGTAAATGTTGAGAACAGTGAAATGATGGAATGCTAAACTAAAAGAGTTTTATGGTTCTCTTGTGGAAATGATTTTTTACCCGACGTTGAATAATAACAACTAAAAGACTAAGCAGACGCATTTAAAAAATAAAATAAAATGTTGTGTATAAAAGCACACAATAGTGTTGGGAATAGGGTAATGACTTTGTCATTACAGTTTGGTGCAAAATGTGGTTGTTTTTACAAAATAATGGATATACATTGTTTCAATAAGCAATTGTTTTATAATTAAGCTCTGAACATCATGGCAGATTGTTATCAACGCGTATCATTTTAGCCCAAGCTAACAAAACTTCAGGAAACTCACCTAGCAATCTGGTTCCTCCGGATATGGTGCAGGAAGCCGTGGCGCATGTCCAAACGCCCCCCTGGTTTGTATTTCAGCTCATGCTCTTCGTCGTCTCTCAAAATATCCATTTTCAAATAATTAGAACCTAAACGATGGTAGTATTTTTTAAGCTTCAGTGGTTATTGACAACAACAATCTCAACCAGAACACTGACAAAAAGCTACATGCCAGCTATCGTCAATGTGTTGCCCAACCAATTACTATACCGGAGTTTATATATCGAAAGGGGGCAAAGTGTTTAAGTTATATACCCTTCTGATATAACAAAGTATAATAATAACAACAGATGTAAAACAGTCCGAGGTCTACGTAATAGATTGCTGAGTACTTTGAGCAGCTCAGCGATTTTCTAGACCTTCAGTCTCAGGAATAGTTTTTGTCCAGGACGCGCGACGAGCTTTGAGACCGCGAGTTTCGACGTACACAGTGTGCGACTCATTCATCGCACCGAGATTAAGTTGTTTTCCACCCGCTATTTTGCCCGCACCCACAGGCCCGAAAAACTAAAATGGTTTAAATAAAGCGAGAGCCTGGTGTGGACGGCGATGAAAACGAGGACGGTGGTATGTTTAATTTTAACCGCAAAATAATGCATGAATGTAATGCTAGCGTGCTAGCTGT